TAATAAACAAAATCATTTGTTGATTTTTGAAGATTATAAATTAATGATAATGCTTATTGGTTATTCCTAATTTTATTGTCATAATGAAAATGGAAATATCTCATGAATCTCATAAATGTTAATGACACTCAACGATGCAATTTATTTTTTGCTTCTTTTGAATTCTTAATTGCGTGAGTGTGGTATGGATTAGATGTCATTGAAAGTTATGATGTGAGACTTTTATGCAGAAGTTTTAGTGTGATATGATCATATCCATTATTAAGGCACTTTTAGATTGTCATCATGTTAAAACATTCAATGCAACTTGGTATTCTTCACTTTCCTGAATGAAGAATTGAGCTAGAGCTGAGCTAGAGCTGAGCTAGAGCTAGAGCTGAGCTAGAGCTGAGCTAGAGCTGAGCTAGAGCTAGAGCTGAGCTAGAATTAAGCTAGATTGAGCTAGAGGTGAGCTAGAGCTGAGCTAGAGCTGAGCTAGAACTGAGCTAGAGCTGAGCTAGAGCTGAGCTAGAGCTAGAGCTGAGCTAGAATTAAGCTAGATTGAGCTATAGCTGAGCTAGAGCTGAGCTAGAGCTGAGCTAGAGCTGAGCTAGAGCTGAGCTAGAGCTGAGCTAGAGCTGAGCTAGAGCTGAGCTAGAGCTGAGCTAGAGCTGAGCTAGAGCTGAGCTAGAGCTGAGCTAGAGCTGAGCTAGAGCTGAGCTAGAGCTGAGCTAGAGCTGAGCTAGAGCTGAGCTAGAGCTGAGCTAGAGCTGAGCTAGAGCTGAGCTAGAGCTGAGCTAGAGCTGAGCTAGAGCTGAGCTAGAGCTGAGCTAGAGCTGAGCTAGAGCTGAGCTAGAGCTGAGCTAGAGCTGAGCTAGAGCTGAGCTAGAGCTGAGCTAGAGCTGAGCTAGAGATGAGCTAGAGCTGAGCTAGAGCTGAGCTAGAGCTGAGCTAGAGCTGAGCTAGAGCTGAGCTAGAGCTGAGCTAGAGCTGAGCTAGAGCTGAGCTAGAGCTGAGCTAGAGCTGAGCTAGAGCTGAGCTAGAGCTTAGCTAGAGCTGAGCTAGAGCTGAGCTAGAGCTGAGCTAGAGCTGAGCTAGAGCTGAGCTAGAGCTGAGCTAGAGCTGAGCTAGAGCTGAACTTCAGCTGAGCTAGAGCTGAGCTAGAGCTGAACTTCAGCTGAGCTAGAGCTGGAATAATTCATTATAGCTCAAAATGCTTTTCATTCATTTTTAAACAACCATCAATTCAATTTTCAACTTGACTAATCCAATAAATAGCTAGAAGGATCACCATGACAATCGAGACAGTCCAAAAACAGTCAAAAAATTGTTAACCCGTTTTTCATTCATTGGCAGAGACAGAAAAAAATATTAAATTTATTTTGTAGCCATCAAGCGTTTTATCTAATCTCCTTTTAAAGCCCATAACTTCATAAATGGATGGCTTTTTATTCACCTTAAGATCATCAAGCGCACTAAATATTTCACGCGAAAAATTCCTCATCGTTGCTGTTTCTCATGGATTTTTTTTATAGTGCTTTATTTTTTGGTGGATTTAAGTGCCTCATGAAATTGCAATCATGATGGTCTTAAAAAATAATGAAATAAACAAGTACGCAGCAAAATATTGATAACAGACCGAAAATCACGTGGAGCATTAAAAAAAATAAAGTTGAAAATAAGGTAAACGGCAAATAAAGCATGTACATTGAATATAAAAAGGTAATGAGCGCGAGTGAGTGTGTAGACATCATCATCATTCGATCCGCACGACCATCATGGGCATTAAATCATGAAATCCATATAAGCATCTTTCTGACTGCCGCAGCAATGAATTTCCAAGTATTTCTTAAAAAATAAAAAGTGAATTGTACTTAAAAAGGCTTATAGCAAGTAAGTATAAGCAGTATAAAGAAGAAATAACCAAGCGGTGTTTAAACGCGGCAGTGTGTTTTTGAAGAGAGTATAAAAAAAAATACACGGCACACTGCAAAGCTCGTAAAGAGGAATTGCTTGCTTCAGTATAAAAAGGAGAATGAAAAGAATGGAAAAATATATAAAAGAATAAAAACTACTTTATATGATGGAAATACAATAAAATAAAATAAAAACAGAGACGAAGAAGAAAAGAAAAAAAAAATCTTCTTTTTTAAAAGGCGCGTGTATCATTTTCGGGATCGCAGCGTCTTCGTCGTTCGCCTTCAGACATCTATCTTGTTGTAGATCGATTGCGACTGAAAAGAGAGAATGTAATTGTGTGCACTTTATGCCGGTGCGTGTGTATCGCACACGAAGACACACTACCAAAGCAAAAAAGAGAGTCGACGAAGTTTACTGAATGCACATTTCGTCTCACTTCATCCACACGATCTACACACGATCATTTTGTGTAAATCAGGGGAAATGTTGGCTGTTGAGGCACACGATTTATGTGAATAGGGGAAATGATCAAGTAGCTCGAGCTTGAGAATGAAAAGCAAACGATCTTATCTATTTATTAAACAAATTAATGTATAATAAGTAAGCTGTCAAGTTATTAGCAAGCGATATGATATGGTGAGAATTTATTCTCGTAAATATATTTATTGTTGCCATAAATTTCTCGTGCCTTCTAATTAAATAATTGAGAAATGTCACAAAATGGCAATTTATGAAATTATAGAGATTTTTGTTTTGATTTAGTGGGATTTTAATTGACTGGTGGGTCATGTATAGGAATTGAAAGTAGACTTTTATTGACTTTTTATTATTTCAAGATTGATGATCTTGTTGAAGAAAGCTGTTCATGCTTAGATCAGTTTGGATCTTTAGAAGAGTGTCTTTGAGGGTAACGGTTGATCCACCTACTGCATGGCTGGTTCCTAGAGCTATATGAGGACATTGTAAATATTTGAACTGCTACTAGAGAAGGTTGCTCCTAGTAATCAGCCACAGGCCTAGAATTCAACTAGAGTGTGCTTATAAAAACAATGTAAGACCATTTTAGAGGTTATCAATGGGATTCGGTTGCCTATTAACCTCAAAAATAATTAAATGTCAAGCATTAACCACAAGCATCTTAATATTTATTTGCCAAATTTTCCATTAACATTCCATCCTTCAAATACACGCAAAAATCTCATCGTATGCCAATCATCACATCCACCGAACACAACAAAGCATTGCAAGCCACACCAAAAAAATATCCAACTTTACCCGCTAATTTTTCATTCACATAAATTAGTGGCTTTTTGCTAATCGTGCATTTTATTTATAGCATCGCGACTTTGTGTACACACTTATTTTTCTTCTCTCCCTTTTCAGCCAACAAATTATCGTCATCAGCCTCAAAAGCCGTCACAAAACAGAAAAAATAAATAATTAGCACTAAAATTGTACGAGAAAACATTCATAAATACAATATTTTTTTTTTTATTTGATGTATTCGTGTTGATAACAATCGACCACTTCCGTTGTGATGTCGCCAAATATTTGTGTATCTGATATAATCACACCTTGCATGTGACAATAGAATTATTTTTTTTTATTGGCGTATCATGTCATGGACTGTGTGTGTTGGGAACGAATCGTCTTTCTTATCGCTGGCAATCTACCTGCGACTAGAGTAAATACCTAACAAGTTGTTATGTTTGACTGATAAGATTGAAGAATTGCTGATTGTTGAGTTATTGCGGGGAAATTTGTTTGGAGGTGGATTTTGATTTTTGTAAGGATTAGTGAAGGATTTTCACAAACAAAGCTACAATATTATTTTTAAGAATTTTTGAAAAATTAAGCGAAACAAAAATTTTAAAAAATGATAAAATTTAAAAAATAAAAAAATCATAATTTAAAAAAATGAATTTAAAGAAATTAAAATTTGAAAAAAAGAGCCATTTTTAACCATTTAAAAAATAAAATTAAAGAAATATGAAAAGCTATTTTTAAAAAAATTAAAAGTTCAAAAAATTATGAAAAAATAGTCTTAATAATTTTAGAATTTTTTTTAAATAAATAAAAAAATAAAAAAGTTCAAAAAATATAAATTTGCATTTTAAAAATAAATTTTTTCTTTTTTATTTGAAAGATTTTTTCTTTATTTTAAAAAAATTAAGCCAACCAGAAATCACAAAATCTATTCATAAACAGCTCCACAATCCGACAAAACATCAACACCATCCCCCAACAAACCCATTCATTTACTTAATTTGATGCAATTATAAGTGTTTACAACAGTCTATTACTAGATTGAGAAATGCTAATGAAAAAGAAAAAAAATACTAAGCCGATAAGCGTGCACACTTTGATTTCTAAGTCTAGTGGCAACTTCCCTTTCCAACACACATCAATCGCACGCTTATATCCCCACCAACTTTTTTTTTCACTGCCAAAGCCGTAATGAAGATGAAAAGTGGAGAAAAAAAAAATCAAAAATTCTTGCCGTCTACCTGATACGAAAGGAATGAGCGAAGAAGAATGAAAAAAATATTTCTCAGATTTCATTACTCAATGTTCAAATAACAGATCCTATGACACACATAACAATCATGTGTATATATGTGTCTGGAACTGCAGTAATGGAAAGAGGCACATCAGTCAATACATGAAAAACAAAAACAAGACCTCCCGATATCCGTTCGTAACTCTCTCATTCTCTTCTCTTTTTATTTTATTTTTCTTCTGTGTATAAATGAATATACTTGTGTGTTGTTAATAAATAAACGATGTGTAGAATATAATGAAAATTTTTTTTTAAATGTTGTTGTTGTAGGCACCGAAATGAAAAATATTGTAAGCAACAAGTCAGTCGGCGAAACTAGTTAGTTCGTAAACAACATTCATTCAGAATAGTTTGAGACTTTCGACCGTGAACGTCGCATTTTTTTTGACAAATTTTTTTTATTTTCATTCTTTTTAAAATTTTCACTTTTCCTTTTTTTTAAAAAAAAAACTTATTATTTTGTGCAAATTCAATACAAGACAGGAAAGTGCCTAGGCATAATAAAAGTGACTTATATTTTTTGTGACACACAAAAAAAGTGAAAAATTGCAATTGCAAGAAAAAATTAAAATTTAAAAAATAATCTGAAAATAAACAGAACCAAATAAAGATAAACCCAAAGACCAAAAAAATAAAAAAAAAATCACTGAAGGAAAAAAAAACAAAAAATAAATATTTATGAACAAAAATATGGTGACAGGAATAAAGTCCATAAGCCAGCAACAAGTGATCAACAGTAACACAATGGGATTAAATGGAATAACCACAACACAGATGCCTTCCCAGGAAGTGCCTATAAAGCGTGCCACAGCTAGTGATACACGTCGGGTATGTACAAAAAAAGCAGCTAATACTGCTGAATGCTTAAGTAGCTAATTACAATTTGCGCGTGCTCTGCATTATATTTATAAACCGATGACTTGACAAATAGAGACATTGTGATGATGACTATGACTTGTATTGAGGCAAAAAAAATAAGAATTATTGGATTAGAATTTTATGACACTCAATAATTTATCTTAACACAAAGCGATATATTAACGTGGAGCAAATGAAGGCATTTAAAATCGTAACAAATTGTGACAGTAAATTTTGTCGAGAAAGAATTTATTTTATTGATTTCGCGATGGGTCGTTAGATGATGATGATTAAAAAAATTTTTATGGCGATTTTCGGTAAAGATACACACACTCGATTCGCATTGCCAACCTCATAAATTTTATCTAAAGCCACACTGAAAAATAATTTTCACTCACCCAAATATTATTCATAATTTATGCATGGCTATACATTCACTCTTGTTAATTTAAATGTCACGTTTTTCAAAATAATCTTTTTTCCTCGTGCCATTCTCACTTTTTTTTATGATAATCATGTTGGATATGCCAAAAAATCAAACAAAAAATTATATTTATTTTTTTTAAAAAAAAATTTGCAAACTATTTGTCACCAATAAACATGTGGAGTGAGGATATAATTTTTATGGAACCACGTGTCGTGACATTTTAATTCTGAAACGGATTTTTGTCTGCAGCAACAAAATTGTAGTTTTTATTATTCCAAATTGAGATATTTTAAGTATTCATGCAATTGTGATTGGATTAACAGAGAATATGTTCAAAAAAATGCCACTGTAGTGCTCGGTCTACCATATTTTATTTGCATAAATCATTGGACGAATTTTAAAATTGTTCACATAACCAAAACAGCTCGTACCGCAGATACATACGTGTACCTAGATTTTTGTAGAATTTATTTTTTTTGTTCAATTTTTAATTGTTTTTTAATTTGACGGAATAAAAGATTTCCTGCATGGCTTTTTCCAATCACAATCACACAAGTTCCCCTGAAAACATGTTTCCGCTTATTCGGTCGATTAACATTTCCACCAAGTCTCTTTTTCACTCACCTCTTTTCCATCAAAATAATAATAATAATGATTGCCGCATGCTTTACCGTTTTTGTCAGTCATGGCAACTTTTTAGTCGGATATAAAAAATATATATCGCAAAAAAAAAAAAATTGCCGACGATAAAATTGCTGCAAACTTTGAAATTATAGTTTTTGATTGAAATCAAATTTGGGTGTCTTACTGAGTTAATTTGATCAGAATGATTGCGGTCGGCTAGGGTATTTTTGGCTGAATTTAAAGAAATCTATAATTTGTTGCACAGACAGTTTTTAATGTTTATTTTTTTAATAGAATTTTAAACCAAATCTAGAAATTTTCTGGTAAAATTTAAAAAAAAGAATTTTTTTTGAAATGTTTTCAATTTTTTAAAACAAAACAGAAAACTGAAAATAATTTTTTTAAAGCAAGATTTAAAATTCTGCATAAAAACTTCAATAAATCCATATAAATTAAAAATCACTGACTCCATGCCAATCTACTCAATCCCCAAAAAAGCCTTGAGCAAAAAAAAAAACAATTCAATGGACACCCAAATTCGCAAATCCGATCATTTAAACTCTAAAAAAGGAGAAAGAAATTTCAACAGAAAAATAAAACAAATCACTTCAAAATTCCGCCTAAACCAAAATCGAATTAAATATGAATACGAATTTAGATCAACAACCCTTTAATTTTTCAAGCCTAATTTTTGGTTTTTGGGCAATCCAATATTTTACACCTTTTATCAGAAGAAAAAAAAATAAAAGAAAAATAAATAATAATCATTATATTTTATTTTTCCCACACGCGTTTGGTCGGCATGAAATCAAATCCATAATTAGAGCGATTAATTCGAAGAGAATAAAACACGGCGAGTTAATTTTTTTTTCCAACGCACACGCGACTTGTAAAAGATCAATATCCGCTATCTGTTGCTCATAGTTAACTCACTCATATGTGTACATACGGCTTTAATCTCTCTCTTTTGCCTCCGCATGCGGGTTCCATAGCGCGAAAGAAATGTAAAAAAAATAAGATATTAAAACAGCGTTAATTTCTCTATGTGAAACAGGGCATTTGGCACTGAGGAATTTTTCTTTAAACTTCTTTTCATGAAGCGTAAATGAGATTTGCAGAGTGTCTGTCCGCAATTTTTTGTGTGGGAATTTTTTTTCTTCTCTCTTTTTTTTGTTCGTTTGTTGATTTTTTCTCGCTTGACATAAAGACAATATAAAATAGTTCAGACGCACACAAAAAATTATAAATCACGTTGCCTGCCTTAATAAAACCATTTTTATAATGTTGGCAAATAAGCCATTCACGATATTTACATTTGGTCTATAAAAATTGAATAGACAGAAAAATGCTAAAAAAACGGTGGGATTAAGATGTGTGTGACATAAATCTCAAATTTCTTGTATATACTATATTTATTTATATTGGCCCAATTTTTAAGTGACTTCTTTAGTATCAATTAGCGATCGCGGGAAAAATAAACAATTTTTTTTCTCTTATAAATATGTGGGATGTTTGTATGTTGAAGCTTTAAAGACATTCCTTAAATTTTTTTCACTCTCTTCCCGCGTTTATCCAGTTAATATTTAATTTTTAATGCAAAAGCATATATTTTAATTTTCGAATCACCAGTAGCAACCTAGCTGTCTCATTCAATAGCCAAAATTATGATTATTATGCCTTTTTTATGCTGATAACACAGGAAGTGCTTTGATTTATTTGCAATGATTAAATCAGCGTGTTTTCAGTTTAACGCAGGCTCGCAAAAAAAGATTATATATATTCGCTTATAAAGCAATCGAGTATGGATGGAAGCATGAAGAAAAACAATATTAACGCTTCATTAGTTCCTGTAATCGAAAATAAAGAAGGCAGGTAGATTGGAAGAATGGTTAAAGCGGATAAAATTTTTGCTCATGATAATATACCTTTGATGTTTTCTTCCTTCTGCAACATCTACTGTTGCCATTAAAGATTTTTTTTATTACTTTTTTTTACTCATCTCTCATTTTTTTTGCAATTTGATTCCATCTCAAAGACCCCGTGCCTTCTTGATCCATCTAATATGTGATGTAATTTATATGCTAAACTTCATGCCACATTCAATAGACGTCTATTCGTTGTTATAAAAGAGACATGTGAAATCACTTTTTGCTTCTTCATCAACGAACAAGTATGTTCCTTGCTTCCAAAAAACATGTGTATGTTATAACTTTTTTATGGGGTAATTAAGGCGCATTTTTATTGCTAATGATCAATAGTTTGAAAGGAATTTATAATTAATTGTTTAATGTCGTGTTTTCAACGGTTCTTTGATGTTTGAAAATTCAAAATGGCAGATTTTTACCACCTCAAAGTTTGTTTTTGAGATATTTCAAGCTTAACGACATATTTATTGGAAATTCCAATAATTCTTCATGCAAAAAGTTGGCAAGGTCATTAATAAATTCCACCCAAAGTGACAAACAGTACAATTTTTCCAGCAGATGATAAATTATATTTTTCTTCGCATTTTCTTCTTGCTGATTCAAAAGATGTTGTCGATGATGATGATGCTGATGTGGATGAGATTGAAGGGCAATTTTCGGATGGAGAAATAAGAAATTTTTTTCTTTTGATCGAATGAAAAACAAATTAAAGAGATTTCATTTCACGTGTAAATGTTTTAATAACAACTCATTCTACCGCGTTCGACAAGGAGGTTTTATGAAGGAGAGAGAGTGTGTGATATAAAAAAAATATATAATCTTTTGGTATGTGCGCAAAGTGTGGGTGCTAAAATGTATGCTCAAATCAGCACGCTACGAGAAACAAAAAATTTCTTTTTTTTCTTCTGGCGCGTTGTTGCTTCAAGTTCAAAAGCAATCTTCGTAAATGATCTTCTCACATCATTTTAAAGTTGCTTTATTTTTTTTTGCGCGAGCTGTATGCCCGAGACAAATTGTGGAAAATGGAGATTTATTTTTTTACCATATTTTTCAACACATCGCCGTGTGCCTGCGATAATTTTTTTTGTTGCTGCTTGCGCTTATTCGCTTACTCGCACACGTTAAACGATTTTATTTTATTCTGCTCGTCTTTGAGTGAGGGGAAAAAATTTAGAGTTCATTAATTTTTGGCAGCTCATGATATTTATCTGAGGCTTTAACGATTTCTACGCCGCTTCATCATATAAACAAAAAAAATATTGTTTTTAATATTATTATTACTGTTTTTGCCGTGAGAAATGAATTTGTCTATGCGGAAGCACAGAAAATCTAAACAAATCTGTTAACGTGACGATTTTTTCATCACAGCTCATCAATTAATTAATTCATATTTGGGGCATTAGGCAACTACATTCGGGCTTTTAGAGTGGGTCTAGTAAGTCACACAAGCTATTTAATAACAGATACTAAAGCTTAAATGTCTTAATAATATAACAAGCTATCCATACGTAACATTTAAACGCCCCCCTAATTATAAGTAAGCAAAACAATTGTGAATGGACATAAATGACATATATGAGAGGAATTGAGAGCTGAATAATTAAAGAATCGTCGAGTGCGGCACGTTTTAACGGCTAAATTTATAGCCACTCATTATTTTTGCTACTGCTCGTCTTGTCAATTGATACCTCCGCTCGCTTTTGTGAAAACAGAAGTAAAAAAATATGCCGCTGCTTCCAAATTATCAAAAGGAATGACAAAAGACAAAAGAGACGCGACCACACATTTATGTAAAAATAGATACCTTATTCATGTGTACGAAAAACAACTGATGTATTATGAATTTCAATATTTTTAGCCACTTCCGCGCTAATTTTTCTTCATGACCAAAAAGATTGTTACGCACACAAAAATATATATATTAAGCAGACTGTCATGGCACACGAATATGATGAATCGATGAACAAACAAAGAAAATCATTTCATTGTTTTTTCTCTTTTTTTTTCTTTTTACAGAGCAATAAGCCAATTATGGAGAAGAGACGACGCGCAAGAATCAACAATTGCCTTAACGAGCTCAAAACACTTATTTTGGATGCGATGAAGAAAGACGTAAGTATTTTTAATATAATTTCTGCACAACATGACGTATTTTCTACTGCCATCGCCTCTCATTTCGATTTAAATTAAAACAATCTATCACTCACTGATGACTGATGATAGCTTATATTTCCCTTCTTTTTATTTTCTCTCTGATTCCTTGAGATATGAGATGCTGAAATAAGTACATCCTTCATTTTCATTTTTATTAATTTTCTATCTCTTATTTTTTTTTAATATCACACAAAAAAATACAGCCAGCAAGACATTCAAAATTAGAAAAAGCTGATATACTTGAGATGACGCTCGCATTCTTAAAAAATCATCAACTCAATCTTCAACGTCAACAGGCGGCAATGTCACAAGCAGCTGATGCTACAATCGCTTCAAAGTTCAAGGCTGGTTTTGCTGATTGTGCAAATGAAGTGGGACGATTTCCAGGACTTGAGCCTCAAGTTAAACGACGATTGTTACAGCATTTGAGTAATTGCTTGAATGGAGCTAAGCAGGAGCCAGTGCTTCCATCACCGCCTAGTTCACCCGAACAAGATTCACACATAACAGCTACAACAAATGGATATTTTTTAACAAATGGAAGTGGAAATGGTGTACAATTGATTCCAACAAAGTTATCGAATGGAAACATTGCATTTGTTCTTCCTCAATCAGTTCAAACATCAGCTATACCTATGCTCGTACCAATTCCATCAAGAACAGCATCAACTGGATCTGCCACATCATCAAATTACGAAAGAATTCGTGAGCAATCAACATCTCCATATCATCAGCCTCCAAGTCCTGCCAATTCATCATATGAGCCAATGGATTGTATGCCAGCACATCAAAATCTTCATCATCAGCATCACCCGCAGCAATTCAACTTCCATCCACATCAACAACAGTCACAGTCAAGCTTGAAACGACCATACAGTCCATCGGCGCCTATTTCACTGGTAATGAAAAAGACAAACTTTGATCAACAGATGAAGGATGACGAGAAGCCATGGCGACCTTGGTAAAGTAATCGATAAGTGCCTTCTACTTCATACGGGCATGTCTTAATGTAAATAAAATGATCTTAATCTTATGTAAATATTAATTGTTAACTTATGGGTTGTTATTTAGTGAAGCTATTAGACTCGGACCATTCACAATTCAAATTATTATTTTCTTTCGTAAAATTTGCGTGACATAAAAGCCAACACGGCAATAAAAACTTGTAGAAATAAGAGAAAAAGAAAGAAATTTTTTATATACATATTTTTAAAAGGAGGGAACGTTGTGATAATGATTCGTAAAAATTTTTCCTATTTTTTTTGAAATTCACACTTAAAACTAAATTGAAATTTATAAGCAAGAGGAAAGATACAACTCAGTGGATGCCACAGAAGAAGAAGTGTGGAAAAAGAAGAATTTTTTCTTTAAGAGACGTGACATTGTGCGCTCTACAAAGTTTTTCTTTTCTTAATTTTTAATTTAAACGAGAAAAAAAAGTTGTTTTAGTGGTTTTGAAGTTTCGGTAGTTTTTAAGCCGCAAGTCATTGAGTTGTGAGAATCAGCAGGGAAAATTTACACAAAAAAAACATGACCCTCGTTTATCTATTATATGTCAACATATATTGTATATTTTTAGAATAAATAAATCGTGAACCTTATCAAGTTCAATACATGAAATTATAAATATTTTTGTTTTTTTTATGTCGTGTGATCTTAACCAATTTTCCAAATATTATAGACAGGTAATACATATGTATAAAGCAGTGCATTTTACACGACTGTGCCAATTTAAGAAGTCGTGTTCACCCTACAAATTTATTTTCTTATTGATTTAAAGCTTTTGTTTATAGATCACACGACTTTTGTAATATTGTTCACGATTTTCGTGTAGATAAGGTGACATTTGTGGTAATTAAGATGACTTAAAGTTGTTTATGATTTATTGCTTCTGGGCTTTAAAGAGTTTGGTGTAAACAAAGGTGTTTTTCAGTTACTAAATGAAAGAACTTTAAATTCTAGCAAGATTTTTGCTTGATTCATGCAAATATCAAAAAATGTTGAAATAAAAGAAGTTCATCGAATGGTTCATCACAAGCGGAAATTAAACCTGGCACCTCTTAATTGCCGATCATGTGCTTAGCTATCTCATTCTCTTTCTCTGACCAAGCGGGAATCGAAACTCACACCTCTCGATAGCCGGTTAAAAGTGCTCAGCTGTCTGCTCTCTTTCTTTGCCCAAGCGGGAATCGAACTTATTAATTCTCGATTGTCGGTCAAGTGCTTAGAGAGGAGAGATGAGAGAGGAGAGATGAGAGAGAGATGGGCACTTGACCGCTAATCGAGAGTTGCAAGATTCGATTCCCGCTTGGGATGAACCTTTGGGTTAATTTATTTTTCAGTTGTCTTTTAACTTACGATAAGTCGTAAAATTAAAATGAATTTTTTGTAAGCTGCTGAAATTCTTTTAGAGCTTTTAAGTTGTCAGCAGATGTTTCATTACTTTAAAGATTTTTTTCTGAAAATTTTTGGAATTTTTGAGATTTTGTTTACTTCACAATTCCAAAAAAACTTCTTTGTCAGTTTTTAACACATTACAATAAAAATAAAATATTCAACAAAAAATTCTGACAGCTCAGCCAGCAAAAAAGTTTAACCATAACTCCATCATTCTCACACGATCAAGTAAAACTTCTCGCCGCACGTGTCGATCGAAACCAGATTCTCTAGAAGCAAAAAATCCACATAAGAAATTATTAAGTCTCGATTAGTACCCCCTACTGTATTTAAGTAAGAGAAGAAAAAGAATTTAATTGCAATGTTGGGCGAGATAAATAAATTTTCATTTTAGAAGAGATTTCTTTCTTTATTCTACGTTAAACGTGCCAATTTGTTAGAGTATATTTTAATTATAGCCAACCAATTGGTGGTAGCAAGAACAATGGGAAAGAAAAAAAAAAATATAAAACAAAGTAAGGAATTAAAAATAGTTTTTTTTTTCTCTTCATATTAAATAGCATCAAGTCGTTTTGGCAAATGATTTGATTTTATAGATAAATACACACGGGGGCACATACATAATGTTCGCGGGTGCCAAACGACACTTCTTCATTCAAATAATAATGAGTTTTAGATACAAAGTATCTAAAATGTAGACGCAAACACAACAATTGATGAAAAAATTTAAACAATTTTGTTCGCTCACTTTCTTTCGCATTCACAGCGAGTTCCCATGCGCGCCTCACTTTTCATTTCTTTTCTTATTGTACGTAGCTTTATTTTTTTTTTTGGCGGCTGTTTATTCTCAAATATAAATTTTATTTTTATTGTTTCGCCTCGACACATTGTGAGTCGCGAGTGGAATTCTATACAGATTGTATGTATGTGCATAATAAGCGTGTGAGCGCGTGTTTATAATAAGATGGAAGATTGTTGTCTCAACTATATGTCATATAATGATCGCACATATTATTATCATGTGAATTTGCGCCTAGGCAAGTTCAAAAGAAATTTTCTTATTTTTAATTTAAACGTCTGTCACATCTATTAGGGGTTATTTGTAAGTTATGGTCCATATTTCAGTAATGGGGTCTGACTTTCAGTAGCTATAAAATTTCATACAAAAGTGTTTAAGCTAAATGAAAGCGGATATAGACATGTGCTCACTGGACACTTGCCCACAGCCACTTCCTTACATTGTCACACATCATTTACGAACGACCCTCTTATTGACTTTAATATAATTTTTTTCGCACATTTGACCCTTTTATGTTTGTAAATTGACTGCGCGCGCGAGTCAACCGCAATGATTATCAGCCAGTTAACGGTGCGAGTGAGATGAAATGATCACGATTTGCTGGAAAAATGAGATTTTAAGGTGAATTCAAGTGACTCGTTTGTCTCGCTCGATAGAAATCTGGTGTCTCGATTACCTTTTCGCGCCCTTGATCAAACAAATCGTGGCTGACAAAACAATGCTCGTGCCTATTCAACGATGAAATTTAATTACCATTCATACGATAATTTTAACGTCGTGCGGCGCAAGGCGTGCAACAGTCATAATTATTTGAGCAAATAAAGCAATTTGTCTTTATCGCAAGTCGCTGATCGTAAAAAAAATGCTATTTTTTTCACAATTTCATGTCACATTTCATTCATTTCTCATTATTATTATTATTATGCCTGAAGACGTTCTCTTTTTACAAATACATATTAAATTTTTTTTCTTGCTTGTGCTTCTTGCTGTTTAGACATAAGAAGCGAAAGAAAAATGAATGTAATAAAAACGGTGACAAATCGTGAACAAGTACTTAAGCACGAGAAAATTGTAAGAGAATTTTTTTATTCTCTTTTCTTTCAAATCACGTGGAAATGTTAAACAATTTTTCAAGTACAAAATAAATAAATAATAAAAAGAAACTTGATGATTTGTTGGATTTAAATAAACCGACGTAAAAAAAGCCACTTGGACATGATGTTGTGCATTAAAAATGTGTGAATTTTTCATTAAGCACTTCCGGAGGGAACACAATAAATTATTTGAAGATCTTGTTGTGGTCATTTTTAAGTGAAAAATCTTTGTCACGTGGAAGTGAGATAGGAAACACCTGGCAGAATAATTTGTCGGACTTGACTTGCTTTTGTGGAGAACAAGGGATTTTCTGGTGACTGAAGAAATTTTTGAATTTTTTGGAATCGAGTTTGATGTCTTAGGGTGATCAATTCTTAATTTTGGACAAAATATAAATTTATGGAGAGATGACAATGATTCAGGTACAATTCTCGTCATGATTTTGTATATGAAGCTTTATTGTGAGGCTGTAAACTAATGGTCCAAGGGGTATACACTCGGGATTAATCACAACCTATCATCAAACTTTGATTCCCACTTGAAACCCTTGCATTAGTTGATGAATAATTGAGGGATATCGAGTGGGATTCAAAGTCAAAGGAGTGGAACTGATAAATAACATTTTGATCATTTGCGATCATTTTTTGACCATTTTTGATAGGTTTTATCATTTTAAATCACTTTTGATCATTCCATCAGTTCCAAACTTTTGTTCAAAGTCTGATGAAAGGAAGTGCGGGATTTTTTGAGATTTTTGGGATAAATCCCGACTGCTTATGCCTTGTAATTGTCCTAAAATTGCTGCCCTAAAATGTAGAACTACTGTTTAAGACCTCGAAATTGATGTGAAATTAAATCAATCTGTATTGGTTGGGAATCAAACTCACGTCTTTATTGGTCAATAATTGAAGAATTCAAGTCTGTTGTTCAATCATTTAACCACAGAGGCTTTTTAAAACTTGCAAATTCACCTACTGTTACTACATAGAGTCAGGATGAGGACGAGAAGGTTGGTTTGAGCTCGGTACCTTTTTGAGAAGTTCTTAAAATTTACCAACATTTTTTCGACCATTACAAATATTTATAAATCCCACCTTGTTGAATTGTAGACTTTACCATAAAGCACAAAACAACAATCATGTTAAAATACATAAAAAATTTCAGAATATTACAAAAAAAGTTACTTGACTCTTTTAATCTCTCGTTGCTCAGTGGGATCATGTCAGCCCCATTAGTGACAATTTATATGATTACAGAGCTGTACACGCGCAATAATGAGATAAGCATTTGCACAGTGCCATTTCAATAAAAATATATAAAAATAAAATACTTATCATGATGCTACAATTTGTTAATGATCTCACATTTAGATACATATATGTACAGATGTGTTTTAATGCGGCACGAGGCATGTCTGTGCAGAAATAAAATAAAAAAAATAATTATTGTTATTTAAAGTTCATCACATGCAGCGAGTGCATTTTCTCGTACAAGTATACTTGAAGATAAATGATGAGCCATTGACGATGACGTTTTTAATTGAGAGCGGAGTGAAGAACGACAATTCAAGGCGATTAATAACGTTTGTTAGGATGAGCAATGAACAAAGTACACTTCTCAGTTTGTGAATCAGACATAAATATCAAGTTACATATGATGCAAATAGCGGCGAATTAATTTAATTGAAAAAAACTACAATAATAATAATATAATCTCGTTTAATTTGAGAAAATTAAATTACAAACACAAATTTGCATGTGCGAGGAGGCACAGCAGTTGAAATAACATGCAATTCATAAAATGTGCTGAACAAGACAAGATTTATATTACATGATGAATAATAATGTCTGTCGAGATATTTTGCCTGGTTAAGATGTGATGATAGGTCGTCAACGCGCGTGAGACTCGAGCATTTCGCATGTTTGAATTTAATTAAAAAAAAATTGAAAAATATTTTTTTTTACTCTCCTTATTTATTGCACAAATTCCATTGCTGCTCGTTTGTTTATTTTCTACAATTTTCAAGTCATCATATAATATAAAGCAGCTACACACATATCGTTTGTTATTATCATTTATATTAATATGAAAAGCGGGTAGTCTCAACTAAAAGAGAAAAAAAAATTATAACTTTTTTCATTCATTAATCGTTTCGCTTATGTGCCGCGTTAAATTTCATCAAAAGAATTTTCATATCTTATGGCTGGTCGAATGGCGTGGACGAGAATATGAAAAGCGAGACGGTGCGAATGTTTATACAAAATATAAATGACAATTTAATTCACTTTAAGTTGAGATTTATG